AAGGGAGCGGTTCAGAACGCGCAGGTCCAGGATTGGCCGTAACCCACCGGTTTTCTTCGGGCCAATGAAGTACGGGCTGTAGAAGCCGGTCCTCATTTCGGCTGGAGGGACAGTCTCGATCGCACCCTTCGCCAGCAGGGTAGCAACCTCCGCTCTCATGATAGGGGCCTTTCCACCGACCATAGTGGAGCGGACTCCCCTGAAGCGGGGAGGAGACCGCGCGAACTGAATCGCGTAGCCGAGCCTGATCGTTCGCGCAACCCAGCGGGACAGGTTGGGAAGCTCTAGCCAGGCTCCCAAGGACTGTACAAGCGGGGTCATGCGAACCACAGACTTCCCGTCAGTGGAGCAGCGAGGCGGTATGGCTGACCCAGACGTGGACGGCATAGCGGCCCAGTGTGGGGGTACAGTCATAGACCGCGTCCTGACAGAGGAGACCAGGGAAGGACGAACGTTCCACGGGGGTCTGCTCTGCCAGGGGTCTGGCGACAGAGGAGAATGAGAGCGGCACGGTCCGGGGACGGCGCGCACTGTCATCCGGCTCTGGGACAGAGGAGGACGAGGGGTGCACGGCCCGGGGGCGGCGCACCGTGTCGTCCGAGAACTCTGTGTGCTCAGAGACGGGAGAGTCAGTTCTTTCTGGAATAAGGATTCTTCCCCGGCCCTCCACCAGGGAAAGGAGTGGCCCTGCTACCAGCTCCTGGAAAGAACTGAGTCCCATCTCTGAGCAGCCCATCTCAAGAGTGCCGCTTAACCCGGCGTATAGCGGGGGCGAGGCTGGAGAGGGCTGTGGCGTCCCCCAGCGGCTTCCAGAGCCAGCCCGGGTGAACGGGCGGGGTGGGAGCCGCAGGAGGGCGCCTTCGGCGGTGGGCAGACCGAGGGATCTGCTCGGACGGCGGGGCCGTCGGGGCAGAATAAGCCTCAGTCTGCTCGTGGGCGGTTGAGAACTGTTGGGCAAAGCCCTCAACCGCACCGCCGAAGAGGCCGACCTGGGATATGGGGGTGTCAAGCAGATGGGTCCGCCCGACATCCTGCACATCAGACAGGTTCAGCCACAGAATGGTGGACATCACCTGACCCAGGGAGCGTACGGCCACTTTCGTCGCTCGGAGAGCAAGGTCAGTGGCGGCGCGCAGCTCATTGAAGAGCCCTGGGTCAGTCCCGCCCTCGTGCATGTCCGTGAGCATCTGGGTCTGGTAGACCAGCAGAATGGCCATGGCATGCAGTGAGGCGGTTGCCTGTCCTGTAGCGCTATAGGAATTCGCCACAAGTGTAGACGAAAAACTACAGGCTTTGGACGGGTGCTTAGGATCGCGCCGAGAGGAAGCACTCTGAGGACACAGTAGCATCGCAACAGAGCGTTCACCCGGGGGGACCCCAGTGTACCCATGGGCAGCGGCCCCGTCGAGGGAAGGAAGGGCGGAGGAGATCAACGAGGGATCGCTGGCAGACATGGGGGTCTTCGAGGATTTCGAGATCTCCTGATGCACATCCGGGAAGATAGGCATTGGAGTGGACGCCGACAGGAGTCAGCGGCCACACCCAAAACCAATCGTCCAGCAGCGAGCGCTCGGACAGGGTGAAAGGTTCCACTCTAGTCCGATGCTCGCAGCGGCCCGGGAAAGCATGGCCGTCATCTCAGGATCTGACTCGACAAATGCCATATGCACACCCGAAAGTGGCAGCACTGTCGAATCTTCACTTCCTGAAGATTCTAGCCCGCCCTGTGATGCTGTGATGGACAACAGATCCGATTCTGGAGCGTCAAGGGAAACCCGCGGGGCATCTGAAAATAGACCCGGGGAATCCCCTGAACACTCGCGGGTTGCGTCACTGAAGAGGGGGGCGTGGTCCACGGACAAACAGTCGGCGGATTTGTTCCACACTCACACCCTCAGGTCACCCTGGCCACCAGCCGAAGTAGCACCTCACGTGGAGAGTGTTAGATCGGGGTGTGGATGAGGGGACTCTCTCTCTAACGAGATCATTGAGTCTCGACCGTAATGACGCGATGGTCACGTTCCCGCGGGGAGAACGTGAGTCATCCACAAACGCTGCTCTAGCGTGATCAAGCCCAAGCACGCAGAGCAGAGAATGTGCCCATCAAAATCGGAAATGAGTCGACCGCAACCAGAAATGCACGGGCGAGCCGTCTTTAAAGGGCATATTGCAGGTTAGAGGACCCAACGAGTCAATGTATAGAAAAACAATGTAGTAATTAGATTTTCTTTAAAATATACTTATAAATACGTTACATTGGCTTCTGGAGTCGTTTTTGTGAGAGAATTTTACTTCCGCATCTGAAAATGGGCGTGACGGGCGTGACGTAACGGGCGGGAGAGCGGTCGATTCAAACCATTCAAACAACAGGAAAACAATGGATCGCAATGACATTTCGGACTTACTCGTATGACAGACCACGTCATACGCCATAATTGTACAGCCTTACAATTATGAGCCTGCTATGCTGCCGAGAGAGCAGGGACAGGGCAGGATTAATGTTAGACAGAACAACGGTCAGAGGAGAAACACATTATTGCAAAAGTATTATTATAAAAAAAAAACTTGTGTGGAGTGAGTGTGCGCAGCCGCAGTTTATTGCATCACTTAATCGCGTATTTTTGATTAGCCTAGCTGTCAGATACTGAGTAAACATTAAAAGAACAGGCCTATTCAATCTTCCCTGGATGTTTTTTTTAACGAAGAAATTAAATAATAGCAATCAGGAGAATGGAAGCAGCAATAAAAAAATGAGGACTAGTGCTGTCGGCAAAACATTATACCACTGCAATAAAAACTGCACTGCAACAAAAAGGTAAGGCATATGTGTTTTTATATTTAATGCCGTTCACTGTGAGTTTTAATTAATAGTGTAAGAGTTAATAGTGCATCGTTCATTCTGTTTGGTAAAATGTGAGGTGTATATCGTTCGGTAATGTCGTTGTTCTACATGCACAGAGGGGAATGCCATATTTGAAACGCCGCCACGGCAGGTGTCGTGGTGAGAGACCACTGCTAACTTATAGATATAGCCTATACACGTTCGCTAACGATATACATTGTGCTCACAATATTGTACAGATTATTACCATCGTATATCATTTAATAGCAAAGCTATTATTGGTCATCTAGGAGTATTGGAATTAACCAATAACAGAATAAACTATAAGCTTTGATCAAGCGCGTATGTCATGCTCATTAATATCCGTCCAGACTAACGTTACGTGATATAACTTAGCGTTTTCTCATCGAGAGACAGATAGATATTTTTATTCCTGATAGACATGTTTTTGTTCCTCCGATCTGGTGTACGCTACACACGATCGCATTTTTCGAAGCCGATGCAGAAGAGAAATCCTGTCTCTACAGCTGCACTAACCGCACACAGGGACGAAAGATATACAGCACCGTCCCTTTACCATGACGATGATAAATTTAAATACAAAAACTACCGAAAACACTGATTCACGACCGCTCTTACTGACTTTTTTTTTTTAATTCGATGCCACAAGAACAAGAGGTTTTACATATTCACAATATCACATTAACATTAGCTGCCAGGAAATAAAAAATACAAAAAAAGTTTTACATAAAATCCTTTGCTTTCAAAGCATTACATGTTTTCATTGCTTTTTTGTTTTTAGTTTGTTCCAAAAGATGTACTGTGAAGTCATTTATAAAATGTGAAAAAAGCCCAATTCTTTTTATGTAGGCCCTATATGGTATTTTCCTAATAAAACAAATAACTGTATTATATGTTGTTCTTTACATTCCAAATTGTCATTCTGAGTATAAAAAAGCAAATTTACCCGCTCGTACTGAATACAAACCTATCTGCGCTGCTGAGGCTCCCTCCCTCTGGTGACGTAATATGACGCGATGTTGAAAAAAAAACTGTTTTTACGAGCAGTCAAAGAAATGCTCACTTTATCTACTAAATTTGTGCCCTTATGTCGTTTTAAAACATTTTAAATCCTGCATTACCTTTTCATATGGTATTTTCTTACAAGGTTATATATTAATTTAGATTTTTTTTTTTACCTGCAATATGCTCTTTAAAAAGACGAATGGCGTGCGAGCTCTTTTATGAGAGGAGAAAAAACTCCGCGATGTTGAAGCGAGCAGGGAGAAACACACTCATTGGCAGATCACTGCACAGATCAGCAGGCAATGTGAACTCGCTGCAGATCGCCGTCACACCAACACCGGAGAGAGTGGCTCGTCTCGTAGAGTGAAGTCAGAAATGGCTGTGGAGTGAAGAGATACTCTTGGCTCCGAAGCGAAAACATGCCTATTTGCTGGAGCGTTCTCCTTAAATACCCACGAGGTGAGGCGGAGTTACGCTAGGCAAATTCCGCAGACCCATGGCATTTCTTTGCCATTGGCTCGTTTTTGTATACTCGAAGTCGATAGGCTTTCTAAGCGAAACCCCATTCGTCGTCATCCGACGGAACTCGGAGTGACAACGAAAGGGAACTCAAGTGATCTGCAAATTATCATCAAAGCACATAAAAAATTATTCACAAGTGAAATACTGTTATTCAAAGAAATGCAAACAACTCCCTAACATCTTAAAGGGTCACCCAAAACAATAAAAAAATCTGTCATCATTTTCTCACCTTCATGTTGTTCCAAACCTGTAAGACTTTCTTTCTTCTACAGAAAACAAAAGTTGATATTTTGAAGAATATTTGTAACCAATCAGTTTTGGTGCTCATTTACAAAAACACTGAGATGTTTTTTTTTTTTATATCTTCTCTTCACAGAAGAAAGAAACTCTACAGGTTTGTAATGATATGAGGGTGGGAAAATGAGATCAATAGTAACGCTGTAAATATAGACTTTACGATGCTGTGATAGTCATCCATACAAATTACAAAATAATTACTCAAATGCCTATTATTTAGAAACTGCATGTGCTAATGTATTATTTTTACTATTTTAATTTCCATAATCTTGTGCATTATAGGCCCTACAAATATTAAAATTTTAATTATTACCATGATATGGATCTTTGCCTTCCCCTTTTGTATGACAAAAGTTCCCCCCAGGGCCACACTCTTCTCCCCATAATGTTCTTCCATGGTCTTTCTCATGCAGCTCACAAGACTGTCCTCTCCAGTCCTTCTGCAGGCTCTCACCTCAATGACCTGCAATTGTAGTTATTTCAAACCTTGTTACATTTAAAAGTTTGAGGTCAGTATGATTTATGACTTCTGAAGGACTAAGTGACACTGAAGACTGAAGTAATGGTTGCAGAATATCAGAGACTTTTTTGAGAATATTCAGCGTTGCCATCACAGGAATAAAATTACAAAACTTTAAAATATATTCAAATATAAAAACAGTTATTTTAAATGGTAATAATACTATTTCACATTTTTACTGTATTTTAGCTCAACTATTTGTAGCCATGGTGAGCATAAAAGACTTATTTTAAAAACATTTAAAAACACTTAGGTAACACTTTACTTGAAGGGGTGTACATAAGACTGACATGACACCTTCATAACCATGACATGACATATGTCATGAATATGAAGTAGGGTTTATGCATGTTTATGACAACTGTCATTAAGTGTCTTTCGCTCAATAATGACATTTTGAATGCAAATATGACATTGTTTAAGATGTCTTTGTTATGACACCTTGACATAAACCATAACATTATAACCTGTCAGTGTCTTTGTCATGACAACTTGACATTAAATTAAGTTAAACTGTCATGTGGTTGGTTTTGACATTGGCTGTCATAAGGCCATTATAACTGTGTCATGAATATTTTTCGTGACCTCAACTACAGTGGTACAAATTGAATTTGTCATTAAACAGTTATTATGGCTTCATGACAGGCAATGTCAAAACCAACCACCTGACAGTTTAATGTAATGTTAACCAATAAAGCTAAGTGGTTTCTTAAGTTTGATAATTAATCTGCTATGTCATGTTTATGACAGGTTGTGTTGTCTTAGTAATGTCAAGTTGTCACGACAAAGACACTGACAGGTTATGATGTATTGGTTTATGTCAAGGTGTCATAACAACGACATCTCAAACAATGTCATATTTGCATTAAAAATGTCATAATTGAGCGAATGACACTAAATGACAGTTGTCACAAACATGCATAAAACTTCCTTCATATTCATAACATGTGTCATGTCATGATTATGAAGGTGTCATGTTAGTCTTATGCACACCCCTTCAAGTAAAGTGTTACCAACACTTACTGGCCCAAAACTTTTGAAGTGGTTTTGGGTTCCTTTAATAATTATCAGTAGCTCACTCCTAATAATCTTTTCATTACTTATAGCCATTATTAAAGGAAAAACTCCATGTAGTAACTCAATAACAGTACTGAGGTTGTACAGAGACGCAAAGTCCCCATGGTTCTTACCTTTCCAGGTTTGCCCTCACATGCATAAAGGTTTGCAAGGAGGCCAAAGTCACAGTCATGAAACCTGCCACTATACTTTTCCTGCAGACATTTTCCATCCACTGGGTTGACAGAGGAAAAATAACTGCCATTCACCGCAGGTCTCCCTTCAGCCTCAGTCAGCACCAGAGGCATTAACTAGGAGAAAACAAGACAATACAGTGTTAAAAACCCCATTGAACTCTTTATTAAACCAACAAGAAGAAAAATAGGTTTTATAGTGATATGACTTTTGTTTGTTTATATTTTGCTGGTAGATACGACAGCGTTTTGGATTTTATACCGAAACCACCATATGTAGCACTACGCAGAAGCAGACATTTTCATTTAAGAATCCCACTGAAAATTAACATAAATTTAAATATATTTGTAAAAGTACTAAAAGGACCGTTCATTTTTTTAGTTCTTGAAATTCGAATGTGGAAAAACCGCCACTGGTTTTAGTGTAGTTTACAGACCTCTCCATTTATCCCAACTGTCTTGGAGGAGACAGCACCAGCCCCAAGAATAAATGCACCAGGCAGCTCCACCTCCTTGGACACAAGGTTCATGTTGTAAACCTTTGAGGGGAATCGGTTAGTTTTACAAATGTGTTTCTTTCTGAAATTACATTTACAATTCATTAACGCACCTTGTCCAGTTGGACCAGAGGAATCAGATAGGGTACACCTCCCACATCAGTAATACGTGGTTTGCCACAAATACCTAATACAAAGTAACAAATTGTTTAAAGAGCCTGTTACACCTTGACATATACGGACTTACATCTGTACTCACCCTTGACAGGAAACCTGAAAGGCTCTTGTGTAAGATCTGGACAGTCAGCAACAGACACTTTTACATCAGAAAAATTCTTATTCAGTCCTGTTTCCAGCACTGTAACACATACAAACATATTAGTCCATATAAAGTATGGAAGCCCTAAAAAAGGATGTGGGGGCTACATATGCGCACATATCATCCTTCCTGAGCCTAGTCTTTCTTGGAGCGCTGGATAAGGATAATCACGACACCATGTCTACGGCGGAGTCCGGTTTGGAAGATTGGTCTCGCAGCCCTACGGAGGACTCTGCAACGCATTGCAGCGATATGAGCGATTTCCCGGATGCTATAGATGAGGAACTCCTCCACATCATGACCAAGGCAGTGAAAAAGCTCGGCCTGGAATGGTTTTCCCCCATTGAGCCCACTAGAAGAGTGGTTCCCTCAGTCAGGCCACCGCCAGAAAGCTGGCCCTCTGCAAGTGTTTCAGGCCAAGATGCTGAAACACAGAAGAGAATAGCCCTGACTCGGAACTGTTTAAAGAGCTCTGCAGCGCCACGGACCTGGCTACAAAAATGTTGCCTATAGTATGAGGAGTCTCATTGTGCTGGACAGACATCTGTGGATTACCCGGACTGATACTGTATAAAGGACTCGGAGAAAGCTATCCTCCTGCACAGATGAACCCTTCTGAGGTCAGTTGCACGAAGGCAGTTTCAGTTGCTACCCAGGTTAGTTTGAAATTAGTTTTATCAAGCTCTGGTTTTTCTGGCTCAAGAAGGTGGATTGGTTTTTAGCTGTGTTCATCGCCATGGTAACTTGAGTTCAGGAGCAGGTTTTATTCTGGGTAAGAGATTGCAAAACAAAAATTGATTAATCAGCTTTGATATAAGTGACATACAGTATATCAGATGCAATAAAACCATTCCCTCTATATCTCTTGTTCCAAATTAAAGCAGTTTATAGTGAAAAAATTGTAGACAAAATTGCTCGTCTTTTGCTGCTAACTATTACATTTATAATAATTATGTATAATTTATATAATATATTACATATAAATTATATCCTAGAGCTGCCCTAGAGTTCATTATACAGGCTCGTATACAAGTCGATATATCAGAATGGTGTGACGGGTCTCCAACTCTTCCTGCTAAGGCCGGCCAGTGGGTGTGGCTAGGAGGCTCATCAAGGGAACGTCGTCCACCTGTTCTTCCCTCTATAAAAGCTTAAGCTGTTTGTTTGTTTAACTTTATTTTGTTTGTTTTGGAGTATTTTATTCTATCTTTGATACACTAACATCCATGCACCAGACAGACATTACAGATGACCATGTTTACTTGTTTTATAGGCTATATTGTTCTATTATCATATTATCGGTCATAACAATGGTAATGCGTTTTATGTATCGCTCTCTACAATGTCGGACACATAATGGTAATTAATATGATTAGCCTTTTGCTTGACTACATTATCAAACAGCTAATAATGTGTTGCTAATGTTACACAAACCATGTTCCCGTTCACCATCTCAGTTTGCCTTCTAAAAATCAGTATCCTTAGAAAAACTTTTAAAAACTTAGAACGTCAGTGGAGAAAGGAATATAGTTCATCATAACATTGTATTATACATCAAATACATAATTCACCCACTCTATTCCTAAATGTCCCCGATTTTTCATATCAACAGAAAAATATAATGGGATAAGCAGGCTTCTATTGAGACTCCCCTGCTTCAAAGCATAGTAATGATATGCTAAAGCCCACCTGCACATTGACTTGATTGGTTCAAATGTAGTTTGCGACGTAGAAAACACTGGCAATTTCAAACCGTGTTTTTTGGACTTTGTGTTTTTTTGTGAGTCTTTTTTTCACTACAGTTTTAAGGAGAAAATACTCAGCAATGGTGTTGACTTATGAATTTGCACATGGTTTGTCTTAAATCATATTAAAAACATCACATAGACATAAAAACAACATTAAAAACTTGATTTTCACCACAGTGGATCTTTTAGTCTCGCGTAGCCTGACCTTCAGACTGACGGCAAAAGGTCTGGGCCCGTATTCATAAAGATTCTAAGAATTCTCTCAGAAAACTCTTAATTTAGCTTAAAAACTTTTACGTAGGAGTCTTAGCTTAAGAGCGATTCGGGAACGATCTGAGAGCAACTCTGAGTAAGGAAAAGACAAAAACTCTCATCTTAGTGAGGAGGCGGGGCTGACCCCGTTGCTATGTATGACACACTCTTTTGAAGACTGTGATTGGTTGGTTGTCCAAGAAGGAAAAAAAAAAGAGCCATTTTAAGTATAGACCTTATGCACCAGAGAAACGTGGGCGCCGTCATCTTTAGAATATTGTCTTTGAACTTCCGTTTTTGCGGTCGCTCTGTATATTTCTATGGCATCGCTGTCCAGGAGTAATTAGCTGGTGAAGTGGATTTACTTATTGTAGAGTTAACAAAAGTTATCATGACCATTGTAATGTTTATCATAAGCATTGTAAAGCAGATGTCTTAACAAATGTCGGCCGGGAATTTTTTTACGAGCAGTTCATTCATACCTATGCAAGATCGCTGTGAAAATACAGACCGGAAGTCAAAAGACAACGAGCGCAGCGCTGAAAAGGGGCGGGGCTACATAAGGTCTATAGAGTTTACACACAGACGCACATTATATTTATGTATATAAATCCTTTTTTTTTACCTTGCTGTTAATTTCCTAAGGTATTTGATTGGCTTGGCTTAGAATGATAAAAATTGTTCCACTCTTTCCAATTACACTGATTGCTGTCTATTTAAGTGGTGGTTTGAATGTTTGTTTTAATATAGCAAACATGGATTAAAAAACAAGAAAGACGAGAAAGCCCAACTGGTCAAAAGAACCGTGTTTACTGTTTATAGCCCAGTTAGTGGATGAACACTAGGCCATCATTAAAGGAAAATTCGGGCCGGGTGTCACAGCATGGAGCGAGAAGCGGACGTGGGAGCTTATAGCGCAAATGATTAACGGTTCATTCCCCTGCTTGTGCGCACCAGGGAAGCCTGCTATTCATAACTGCAGTTTTTTTGAGCCTGCAAGGTGGGAATGTCCAGTGGAAACTAAATGAACTGTGACACAATAAGAGGTTCTGAAAGTGCTGTAATGTTTGTGTGATCACTGCTTACAGAAGGTTGTGACAGACCCAAATCACTGCTGCTTTATTGCATTTTCCCATTTGCTAAATATCTTAATGTAGTGATTACTTTCATTTCTGGAGTTATGGCATTTCTGCGCTGTGTCGGAGATATTAGCGTGTCTCTAATAAGATCAGTCACAAACATGATCCCTGCATGATCTCATCTATAGCGTCTTATTAACTCACTGTCATCTATTGTCTGCATCACATTTCTTCTCCCTCTTCATCGTTCTGTCATTTTCTCCTCTGCTAAAGAAACTCTTAAGCCTCTTAAAAGTCCTCATCCATACTCCTAATAATTTTGACCTTAAGACCTCTTTTAAGGGTTAAGATGCTTTCTGAATTACTTTTTTTCTTAACTAGGATTTTTTCTTTAATTTTAAGAGTAAACGCCCACATTTCTAAGAATTTTCTTAGAATTTTGTCACTAGGAGCTACTCTTTGCATTAAGATTCTTTACGAATACGGGCCCTGGACTCTATCACAGCTTTCATTGGCCAAGGACCGTCCAAGAGGACAATTAACTGACATGTAACGCAACCAATCACAGTTCGTTTTGTTCCACGTCATGTTTAGGGGTGTGAAAATCTAAAGTCGATGTCCCTACAATAACCCCTAATAGACCGGCGTGCATCTAATCAATATTCATTCAAGAATGTTGTGCAAGTTTACTGCAACAATGGAGCTGCAAACTTCAGATACTTTTGGAAATCCAGTGTTTAGATCCTGGTAAGCGCTCATTGTCACGACGGCGTTCCACGAGGGGTTTTGGCGTCAGACATTCTGTAGAATTTAACCAACCAGATGACGATTTCGAAAATCCAAAATGTTTCCAGTTAAGTGTGCCATATGCATCAGACATTCAACACACGATCCGTGGGCATGACGTCTGAGTCTGAGACTAAGGGTCTTTAAACAATGAAGATAAGACAGTAGATATCATATCACACAAGCCATGTGGAAACTTTGCGTGAGAGTTATGCTGGTGAAGAAGTCTCAAACGCCAGTCAATTATTCACTACAGAAACTGAAAGTAAAAACTAACCGAGATTTTGGGATCTGACACTGTATTAATGGCGCATATTCTCTTAGAGACAATGAGAGATGAAACTAATTTATTTTCTTAATATTTCTCTTGTGGCCCATAGTGAATTTTGTTTAATTCTTTTATTGAATTGAGAAGTATTTTGTGTTAATCAAACTGTTTTTGATAGGGAAGTAAGATAATCTAACTAATATTTTAATACCCTCGAAGCACATTGGTTAAGCGTTGTGAAATTATTTCGGGGTAAATTAATTTGTTTATAAATTTTTTGTAAATAAATATTTATTTAATAATAAAAGTAGTATTTTAGTAAATAATAAAAATAATAATTGAATGTGCCCTGCCCGTCCGCTACACCACTGTGAAGGGCTAAACGGCATCCATCAGGCATGGCATCAAAGCGATTAATGGTTTTATCCAAATCCACATGAATGCAATCAATGTTCTGCTGCAATGTCCAAGAGTCTCTCCTGTCTCATGGTGTTTCTCATGTGTGTTTTCAGTCGGAGCAAGCTAAAAAAGTTCATCGGCACAGTCAAGAATAATTTAAAGTGGTTGCAAACGTTTATAGACTGTGGACTAGCTTTGACTCTTTAAAGGGGTTGTATAATGCCCTTTTCACAAGATGTAAAATAAATCTCTGATGTCCCCAGGGTGTGTATGTGAAGTTTTGGCTCAAAATACCCCACAGATATTTTTATATAGCATGTTAAAGTTGTCACTTTTTGAGGGTGAACAAAAACGCCTCGTTTTGTGTCTGTCCCTTTAAATGCAAATGAGCTGTTGCTCCCAGCACAGGGGGCGGAGCTTCAAGAGCTCTTGTCCTTAGCGGCTTCGATTACCTCACTCAGACAATTTCAAAAACTTTTAGCCTTTTATGTTCAAATCAGAGTCAGAAAGATGGAGAGACTCAAGAAGAAGTGACAACATGTAGACAACATTTCTGAATGGTTAGTTGATGAATTTATGTAGCTTATGTGTAGTTATCTTCTAGTCATTGATTAGCATATTCTGTCTTGATAATCTATAAACCGTGTTCCTGGGGGCGGGTTTATGTAAATTTTAGGGTTAGTGATGTCACTAACCCGGTAGGAATGTCGTGTAGTCCCTACCAGCCGTTTGTTGTAGTCCTTAAAAAGCAATTTCTTTAAAAGAAAATATCTCCCTTTGCTTTGACCTTTGAGCGTCATAACTTTGCAGATGTTGTTTATGCTCAAACAGCAACGTTACACACTAACTAAAGTTAAAAAAGTGAAATCATAATCAACCACCCCTTTAACCTTTAAACAGTGAGTTTTTCTTGCTTGTGCCCTGAACGGGCCATTCGTGGATTTGGATCTCGCTTAGGAACACTGTCTGTGGAGGCCTGACTAACTGCTTCAAACTGACAGCTCACATCGGGAAACTCCATGACTACAATAATATATGTATATACACACAACAGTTCTTTCTGGTTCTCGAATCTGACTGGCTGAGAGTCTTTTCCAGCCATGCGATATTCCCCCTGTATCATACCAGGAACCAATTTTAGGGGGGTGAAAACTTTTGAACAGGATGAAGATGTCAAAATATTTTTTTTAGTACTGTCCTTCGGAAGCAACAGAAGATACTTGTTTCCCAGAAGACAAATTAAATACAATTTACATTGATCTTCAAATTCAAAAAGTTTTCACCCCCCGGCTCTTAATACATTGTGTTTCCTTATGGAGCATCAGTGAATGTTTGAACCTTTTTTAAAAAATCAAAATATTTTAATGAAAAGATGGATCTCAAAATCATACAGTCACTGCTGGAAAGTATGCTGTTCAAATATGCAAAGGATGCTAGAAAACCAAAGAATTTGCAGGACCTTAAGGATTTTTCTGAAGAACATTGTGCAGTTTAACTGCTCAGGACAAATCAGGGATTCAAGAACAACCATCGCAAAACAAAACAAAAAACAGTCGTGGATCATCCAGGTAATGACACAGAGTATTAAGAATCAAGGGTATGTAAACTTTTGAATGGAGTCATTTAAAAAAAAAAATGAGCCCGATTCAGTCCCTGACAATGTTAATGAACAAGAGGATCGTCCAGAACGGATTTCATACACAGACTTTGCAAGCACGGATTGCACAGAACAATTCAGAGTGGTATGTTTTTTGTAATTTTCTTATACATTATAGATACGATGTTATCCACCATTTAATCATGATATTTTTTTGGAAAACAAAGGTAATACAAACAGTAATAGATCACAAAACCATGGTTAATTTTCCTAAGGAGCGGTGACTTACAAAAGCGAGAGCTTATAAGAGCAACAGAATAAAAGCTGTTCTCCATAAAATGTGCAGCACACAGATAAACGTTGGGGTTATAATGTTCATGAACAGTGTTTAAAACCACTCTAAGTTTGTCAGCCTTATGAGGGTCAAACAAATTTGTTTTGGAAACGTGGAAAAAACAGTGTCTCTTTGACATAGCGACAACACTGTCTTCTCTAAAGCAGGCCTCGTCCCCTTTTTTGCGTATTCCGTTTGGCGAAGATTATTTAAATGAGTAACATTGTGACTTCATAAGATCCGGAAAAATCGGTTAGTAGTCCAAACATACATTGTTCATTGTAGTTCTTGAAAAGGGGATTCTGATCTCCCTTTGAAGTGGACTTTGAGTTTTGTAACCTTACAGATCTTTTTTAATGCTCAAATAGCAACATTACACACTAACCAAAGTTGAAAAAGTGGAAAAGCATAATAAGAACTCTTTAAAATCATTAACATTTTTGCAGATTCTGCAAGAGCTTTGTAAACTTTTGAGCACAGTTTGATTTATGCTGAAGTGCTTGGAACATGGCTTTTAATGGTGAGCCTTATGTTTTTGTAATCAGGCTCTCAAAAGTTATATTAAAATTTGAATTTAGATTTATCGGCCAACATACATCATCGGTTACCGGCTTTCAAATATAAATAATTATTGTATCGGCGAATCGGCCAAAATTTTCATATCGGTGCATCCCTATTAGTTTAAATTGCATAATTATTATTATCTATTATGAATTTTTTAAATAACAAAACTTAAAAAAAAAAAAAAAACATAAGGGCAGGATGCTCGGGTGATCAAGAATTTTCCAATATAAAAATAAGATTTCCTTTGATTCCTCTGTCCTCATTTTGTCTTTGCTTCCTTCCCTTGCATCCTAAGGATTCAGAGTCTGGGGATATAATTTGCTTAGAACGACAAGTGTTGTCATTTCATAATTACTGTAATTAGGACCTGGTGTGAATGCAGCTTTAGGCTCAGGGACACAGATATCAGATGGAACACAGATATCAGATAGCACACATACGTCTCCAAGATGTATTTTAAAGATCGCTTTATCTGGAAAACATCTTTTGTGTACAAATATCTGATAAACATCTTTTAAAAAGCAGTTTTACATACATTCTAAATCAGAAACATATTAAAGTTGTTGTTGTATTTAAGTTTATTGCCATTATTATTGCCATGTTGTTAAATGTTTAATTTGGTATAGCCATGTAATAGCCGGTGATGCTGATCATTTTATAGACTTAACATTTTATAGAATTCAACTTAGACAAAAAGACAAGATTAAGTACATATATTGCAGCAATTTGTGCTACTACTACCCGAATGTTAAAAATGTAAAAACAGCTCTTTATTTAATGAAACAAAAAGACCTGAACCGGAAGCGATGCAACCTGTTTAATAGAATATTTGTTGCGCATAACCAGAGAATGGCATAACCCATATTGGGAACAAAATACTCTAGCAAATTTCGTTTCCTGCCGATAAATGTTAAACATTGATTCTTCAATTCCTCTGCCTTTTATTTAGTAGGATATCAATAGAGAAATAATATTTAATGCCCTTAATTTCTTTCAAATACTATCAAATATGATAGTACTGTTATACAATAACTGTCTGTTATACACAATAGCCTACTAACCACATCTTTAAGGATTTTTGTGTTTTTTTTTTGTGTTTTTTTTGTTACTATTACGCCTTGAATTTTGCTAATCTGCTTTTAATGCGTGTAAAGATCAAAATGATTTAAAATAGTCATGTTGAACTTTGGACTCATGTCATTTGGTTTTACTCAAGCACAATGAAAGAAATAGTTAGCCTACACATGCAGCAGCAATAGCCATAAAAAATGCACACATTAAAATGAAATGCGATTATTACCCTGACATAATTCCTCGAGATTCGGAACATGCAGCTGGAACTTTTCGGTCTTGCTTGTGTTTGCCATCCGTCTTGGTGTGTATGTATTAGGGTATGGGGTATGAATCTCTCAGTAGTATGTCAAAGTTCTTCTTCCTCTTCGATAGATTTTATATGGCAGCTTGCAATCATTGTGCATTACCGCCATCTACTGGACTGAGGTGTGATCACATTGGGAAGTCATAAAAAAAAATAAAAAAAACTTTACCATCCTATATGATCAAAGCCCAAGCTTCATCTGGCGCTGCGTGTTCAGCTCCTCCAGCTTCCACCCTGAGCTCCTCAACCTCCAGGAGGAGAAAAAATAAAATATATATATATATAAAAAAAAAAACTAAATTCTACTTGCTAGTTGGGTTTCTTTAAGAAAAGTTATAACCGCCCTAACTGTGGACTGTGTGCTGGTTGCCTGGTAATACTCAATAAATTTTCCATTGTTAATTCTTTCTTTACCGCTCTCTTCATATTTTCCCTTTCTCTGGGGTATTGTATACAATCTAAAAGTATGTGTTTTACATTTTCTATTACTCCACAATTTGTGCATACTCCAGTCTGATGTTTCCCTATAATATGTAATCCGCTATTTAAACTTGTATGTCCCATCCTCAGTCTAGAAAACTATGTTTCCTCCTGCCTTTCCAATCCACTGATTTTACTAGTAACCTCTTTGTGTATGTTATATAAATGTCTGCCTTTTCCCTCCTTATCCCATCTCTCCTGCCACATTCTGTTAATTTTGTCCTAATAATACTTTTAATTTCAGACCTGCTTAATTTGATATCCAGTTCAACCAGTTCTGATGTAACAGCTTCCTTTGCCATCATGTCTGCCTTCTCGTTCCCCTCCATTCCCCTATGTGGAGATGGTCCTCACTGCAGAACACGAAATCCAGGGGGAGGAGTTGGATCCAGATCCAACTCCTCCCACCTTACATATACCTAAATCTATCCATCTCCACCCCCTGATCCCTAACCCCACTCCTAATCCTACCCATCTCCACCCCCTGATCCTTAACCCCACCCCTAATCCTACCCATCTCCACCCCTTAGATCTGGATCCAACTCCACCCCCTGGATCTCGTGTACTGCAATGAGGTGTTACTGCCGATGTGCAGGAACCCATATAAATCCTAGTTGGTTGGTTTATTGGTTTATTGTAAAAATTGGGTGATTAATTTCATCTAGTAGATGAAATTAATTATATTAATTACATCCGGTCTACATGTAAACTTTCCACTCTGAATGCATGCTAATGATGACATTGAGTCTGAACAGATGATCACCTTATTGGGTTTAACTTCTTCCACCCATTGTAAAGCCAGAATTATTGCTACCATTTCTGCTGTAAAAATGGCCAGATGGTCTGTTGTCCTTTTTTTAATATTAACATTATACTTTAAAATGTGGACGGCTCCCCTGTTTTCCCATTCTGATCTTTTGATGCGTCTATAAAAATCTGAACTGTATCATCATAATTTATGTCAATATATTGCTGAACGTTTTGATATATCCCTGATTTAATTATGTTCTTAGCTTCCAAATCTACCCTGGGAGAACAAAACATCCATGGTGGGATTGTTGATGTGCTAACAGTTTTGCAACACGCAATACTGTCAATTTCCCATGCCACCCAAAACTGCATGATGGGCGCCCATACTCCCAGCATTCTAATTACACTTGCTTTGTGGGGTGTGTTTCTTCATGACCTTGCAGATTTGTCCAGTAAGACAGTTTTAATCGCCTTAGGTCTAAAGGCATTTCTCCTACTTCTATTTGTAATGATGGAATAGGTGTTGTCCTAAACGCACCACAACATATTCGAAGTGCCTTGGCCTGTACTCTATCTAGTTCTTGCATTAAGGTTTTAGTTGTTGAACTATATACTATGCTTCCATAATCATAAACAGAACGAATCAGTCCAGTATAAATCCCTTTCAGGGACATTCCTGATGCTCCCCAGCTATACCCTGCTAAACACTTCAGTATATTTATACCTTTTTTGCACTTATCTGTCATTAACGTCAAACCATACCCCCAAATATCTTATACTATCAACTTGCTTAAGATGCTTCCCATACAGTTTAAGATCTAGGATTCGTTCTTTTTTTTGGAAAAATATATAAATTGTGTCTTTTCAATAGATAGATGAAAGCCCCACTCATATGACCACTCATATTCAACCTTAACAATTGCTGATTGCATTTTAACCTTCAGGTTGCCGATATTCCTTTATCTCACCCATAATACCCCATCATCAGCATATAATGCTCTACCTACCGTCTGATCTATTCCATCAAAAATGTCATTAATCATTATATTAAAAAGCATTGTGCTACATACGCTTCCTTGTGGAGTACCATTCTCTATTGGATATATACTTGAAAATTCCATCCTTACTCTTACCTCTATGGTTCTGTTATTCAAAAAATCTTTAATCCAGTTAAACATCCTGCCACCTATAGCCATCTTATTTAACTTAATTAAAAGCCCCTCCTTCCACATCATGTCATATGCTTTTTCAATGTCAAATAATATAACCAAAACCGCTTCTTTACTTACTTGAGCTTTCCTGATTTCATTTTCTAAACAAATAATTGGGTCCATTGATGTGCGCCCATTACGAAATCCACTTTGGTGAGGGGAGAGCATTCCTCTTTTTTCAATTACATATCCTAGTCTTATAGTAATCATTTTCTCCATAATTTTGCATAAGTTGGATGTAGCTATTGGTCTATAGCTGGTAAGCAGTCCTTGTCACAGTTGTAAACACAATAGCTTTCTTCTTCCACGAGGGGTTTTGGCATCACGGCATTTGTTTCCTGGCGGACCGAAAAAGAAAGAGACACACATGTCTCCTGGACATCCTGTAGAATTCAACCAATCAGATCGCGACATAGAAATTCCTGATGTTTCCAGAAAAATGTGCCATATGCATCAGACATTCAGCCCACGGTCCGCTAAGACTAGCCGGATCCGGGCCGTATCCAGATCAGATGGAGGACCCGACCATAATGCATCGCTGAAGCAGAGATTGTGTCAACTAGACTCTCCCCTGTGAAGGCCTCATCAACACGAGAGCCATCGGCACTTATCCTCAACAAACCTGTCTCCATACCGGCGTGATGACTCCGATCTTCAACCAGATGGTGCCACCGGCTTTTTATATATATATATATATAAATATAGCTGCGAGCAGCGATGAAGGGCCAAAGCTGGCGGCACCGCCACCCCGGTGCCTTTAGGTAACTAAAAGCACCGGGGTTGCGGTGCCACCGGCTTGGGCCCGTAATCGCTGCTCGCAGCTATATTTATTATTATTATTTTACTACCTTTTGGGCACTTTTGGGGCCCTTAACGTGCTCAAAAACTCTTGAAACTTTGCACACAGGTCAGAACCCGCGGCCATCAGGGCCGGGCTGAAGCTGGTAACCGGGCGTGGCAGGGGGGCTCGACAGCGCCCCCTGGAACGGGGTTTGAACACTTGGTCCATAAATCAAACACGCTTGCATGTAATAATATGAAACTCGGTACACATATAGATCTCATCGGTTCATATATCCTTCATGCTCTTACTTTTTACCCCAGCCCAACAGGAAGTCGGCTATTTAGGGTTGTTTGGAAAACGCATGCAATGGAATTTAAAGTACTCCTCCTAGAGAATTCAAACAAACGCCTCGAAACTCGGTCAGCATGATGTCAAGACATTGAGGATGAAAAATTGCCAGCGGATATTTGATATCTCGAACGGTTTGGCCGTGGCGAGGAAACAAATTTATGGCGAGAAACGTGAAACAGGAAGTGTGTTATAACTTCTTCATACATTAGTTGATCTTGATGAAGCTTCAGCAGTGTGTTCGTGGTAAGAGACCGATCACATGGATGTGACTATTGTGAGTCAAAGTTATAGCACCACCAACTGGCAGCAGGAAGTGTGTCACTTTCAAAATGCTTTGAAATTACCCTCTTATTTTTACCCGATTTGCTTCAAACTTCATCTGTATAATGTAAACACACGGCAGATGTAGACCTGTGAAAGGATTGTTTAATATCTAAGATAATGTTGCCATGGCAATGCATCAAACTTTAATATTCTTTTTTGATGCTTTTGAGACTCTTAACATGCTTGAAATTGCATGAAACTCGACAGACACATCACATTTATTAGCCAGTAGACATGTGCAAAGTTTCAGAAAAGGGCGTGGTGCAGGGGCTCAGTAGCGCCACCTTTTGACAAAAGTGGGGGTGTTAGATTTATAGTTTTACCTACAATCATAAAACTCAGTACGCATGTTGTTCAGATCAAGCCGGACAACTTTCTAATTAACTGTTATTAGCTCAGACCAAGAGGAAGTCAGATATTTTGGTTTGAATATGGTCATTTTCTCTCTCTCTCTCTCTGAGCCAATATGGCAAGCCGTTTTAACATTTAATCATTTTAACCTACTAGTCTCTATTTTCATGCTACTAGTACTTATTTTTTAGATACTAGTATCTATTCCATTAACCCTCCTGTTACCCTCAAATCTGATAACGTTTATTACCCACTGGGGTCAATTTGACCCCAGTAATTTAAACCTCCACAATATGATTTTTTTTTTTTTTACAAAGGTTTGTCTCAGGTAATTTATGTATTTGTTGACTACTTAAGTAACCTTTTAAGTTAACATCCACCCACCACCCCCCTCCCCACCCCTTATACATCCAGAATACCCATTGCACGACTATGGACAAATTTACAAATTACCATAAAATCTTACTGATTGACCTAAAATTATAAAAATATAAATAGTATAAATATATTTGGTGTTTTATTTGTTTTATAATATTTCTAAGTATAGATTTTTGTAATCTATAACATTTGGAAAGAAAAACAATTTATTTTATCAAGGATAGTAACACGAGTTATGTGTGGGGTCAATCTCGCAAAAATGATGTTTTCCCCTCCCCCATGGCACGGGAAACATCAAAGTTCTCGCAAAAATGATGTTTTCCACTCCCCATGGCACAGGAAAGAATTATTAGTTCTCATGAGAATTACATCACATGTCATGTGAACTACTAGTGGTTCTCGCAATACTACAGATATGGTTATGTTAGGTTAGAGCCCTAAAACAGAGGGACTTTTTTTAATATAATTTTGAATATCTAAAATTATAATAAACATTATAAATTCACATTATAACATGTTATAGTGACCTCAATAAAACAACCAAAACAAATGTGTGTGAAATTTCCATATGTTTTCTGTTTTATTATACAGCTAAAAGAGCCTGGGGTCAAATTGACCCCAAGGAACACCGATGCTACAAAATGTGTACAGGACATTGAAAAAATATCAGCAGGTTAATTTTATGTTTACAGAGTTGTCCCCATTAAATTAGGAAAAGTCATTCAATTTGAAGCAAAAAAAAAAAAAAAGAAATCATGTATTTACAGACGTTAAACATTGAATGGGGTCAAATTGACACCAAAGATAATAGGAGGATAAAGTACTATTACTTATTCATTAGCGACTAGTGCTTATTGTTTAGTACTAGTGCCTATTCTTTAGATACTAGTGCTTATTCTTTAGATATTCTTTTGAATACATATTAGTAGCTAATGAATAAGTACTGGTATCTATTTAATAGGTACTAGTATCTAATGACTTAGTACTAGTATTTATTGAATAAATACTAGTATCTATTAATAGGTACTAGTATCTAAAAGGTCATTTTCTCTCTCTCTCTCTCTCTGAGCCAATATGGCAAGCCGTTTTAACATTTAATCATTTTAACCTACTAGTCTCTATTTTCATGCTACTAATACTTATTTTTTAGATACTAGTATCTATTCCATTAAGTACTAGTACTTATTCATTAGCGACTAGTGCTTATTCTGTTTGGAATATTCAAAGTGCTTATTCAATTTTTATGCTTATTTATATTTTCAGAGCAGAAAATCTGATTTTTCTGCTTATTCAATATTGCATCTAAAATGTAAGTGACTTGACGTGTGTGTG